ATTATAAAAAAAAAAATCTATAAGAAGAGAATAAAACGAAAATATGAATAAAATATGCAAAATGCCATAGAAAAACGGGCAAACACGGAAATGCGCCGATATTATCAACATGGATTGAATTATCAAGAAGAGAGTGACTTTCGCTCGATTTCGACATTGAACTTCTCGCTTGAATTAATTTGAATCCCCTGAAACGCAAGCAAAGCGGCTAAAATTCTGATAAATTCAATCCGACCGATAACACGGGAAAAATGCAACCTAAATGATATGCAGATGAAAAACGAAGCAAAAGTCAATCGAATTCGAAAAACCAGTGGGCAAATTTTAGGGTGCAACACATGGCCCATGTCAACACTCAAGTAGTTACAAACTTTTGATCTTTTGGCTTCTTTTGTGACTTTCCAACATTTGTAACCTCCAAAACTTCATAGCTAAGCAACTAGTGATTGGTTTGCTTGAATTTAGTGCTAGTAATTGATGATTTATGACCTAGTTTAGTATAAATAGAGGCTTAGATCTTGAGAAAAGAGAGAGACCTAAAGGTGACACTTTAGGGGTCCACCATCTTTCACTATCACTACTCAAAACAATTGTTATTTCTCTTTGATTTAGCTTAAGTTTTGAATATTTTCTTTTAATTTCGCAACTTCTAATATTGTAATCTTGCCTTCATCTTCCTCTTAAGTTTGTATTTTCTTTATTTATTTCTCGTTTACTTATTTTTCATGCAGTGGTCTTAAACTTGTTCTTAGTTATTGCTCATCTCACCATGAGTGAGTAAATCCTAGGGACATGGGGTTATGAGAATCCTTCTCATGACAAACCCCTACTAAGCTATTTATTTTGAGGTTGTGAGAAGTATAAGTTAATTTATTTTAGAATTCAAGTGTCAATATATGTTTATGTCGGTTGCGAAAGAAGAGTCAAAACATATGCTGGTCATGTATCAAAAGATAATAATTCGACATCCGATCGCGAATTACTAAACAACTGAGTTCGAAAGGCGACTTGATCTCAATTGAGAAATAATCAAGAATATAGTGTCGCGTGACAAGGCATACGCTCTTGATTGCTATGCAGAAATGTGCCTAAAACACGTTTAGATGGGCATGCCACGAATGTGGGTGTCATGCATCTTTATATAATTTTCTATAAATAAAAAAAGGCTTAGATCTTCTCACAATTCAAACATGAATAATCTTAGATTTGAGTCTTGATGGATAATCATAATCCAGTCATGTTCTTAATCATTTCTTAATTTACAATTTCAATATGCAAACAAACAAATTATTTTTCAATCACTTTAGATGAACACAATTGAAGTAAGAATTGGTAATCATACATCTCTCTATGGGATCGATACTTTTTACTACTTAACAAAAATATGCACTTGCGATTCACACCCGTTCATATAGTTAGATCAAAAACTTTAAAGAGTGAAATGACCATCAAAGATCTTCAGACTCCACAAATATCAAACTAAAAGGTTCTGGGATCAAAAAAACCATAAAACCACGCTATAAAAGATGTATTGCATATCACTTTAAAATACATGTCATTCTAACCTTAAACATTCTCACTTACTCACTTAGATGTCAGAATGACTGCAAGTACTCTTTCCACTGTTTGACTTACTCACTTAAATATTAAAATGACTGCAAGCACTCTTGCCACCGTTTGACCATAACACTAGAATTTTCAACTAAATTCACAATTAAATCTCAAATCACTATTTAAGATCACTTTCGATTAAATTCTAATTATTTTTTATCATGGAAAATAAGAACGGAGTGAGATTTCAAAATGATAATATATATTTTTTAATATATCAAGGATGAGGACAGGATCATGATAAGAACCATTTCCACAACAAAATATCATGTGGTGGTAGTGTTGGTCCTTAAGGGCGGCTTGGTATCATTTTTAGTTTCATTTAATTTTAAGATGCCTATAGAGTAGGTTAATTTGATTGTACCCCACAAAAAGGAAGGTTCCTTATAAACAGCACAAAATAAATAAATGAAAATTTTCACTAACACATGCACTAGATACAGTCACAAAACAAAAATGTTTCCATCTAAACGCGTCTACATTTTGATTTTCCTATTATTTGTTCTTTTCAATTTCTTCATCAGATGACAAAAAGTCTTTTAGTCCATAGAAAAAGAGTTTCCACTATTAAATAGATTCTTCATAGTACCGACAATAAAAAGTCACACTTAATAGTGTACGGCACTAATGTTTTAGACAAAAATAAAAGTAAATAATCATTGTATCCTTGAAACTATGGGGTTCACATGTTAATTTTCATATTTGAAATAATAGTTTAAGATTTTTTTTAAGATAATCACATTTAAAAATAAAAATAATTGGACGTAAAGAGGAATCACGATAAAATATGACACATGCATTCATTTTTTTTTACATAAGAGTATATATGATGGCACATAATTATAATATCAGTCAAAAGGCGTAAAAATAAGTTTATTTTAAAAGGTCGTAGATATAGACCGAAATATTTATAACTACAACATTTTACCGTAGACACAACAAATTATATGTCACAAAAATAGATTTTTATCTACGCCTTTTGATTGTCTCTATAAGCATATGTCATCATGCATAGCGTCTATATACAAAAAATGAATGCATACTCAATACTCGTTGACTACTCCTCTTGTGAACAATTTTTTTTTTTAAATTTGAAACATGATTATTTTGGTATTTTTTTAAAATATTATTATTTTAATTTTTTTTTTGAAAGACATGCTTTATTAAAAAAAATTATAATTTAATATTTTAAATTAAAAAAATACTACCTATATTTTTTTATTGAATAGATAATTTATTTTTTGAGTTGATTGAATAATCAATATATCTAATCTATAAATCAATTATATATATTGATTATTCAATAAATTAAAAAATGAGTTTATAAAGAACAAAGATAGTATTAGTTAATTTAAATTATTTATTGAATTTCATATCACAATTAATTTAAGCATGAGTTAGAATCCACATTTCTTCATTTACACTTAAATAATGTGGTTCTTATAATTAAATTATTTATATTAAATTGACTAAAATTCTTTAATTTACGAAATTAAATTCATGTTTTTTGAATTTTGTAATTTTAAATTTATTTCTCAAATGTGATATTAGCGTAAAGTGACGAATATAATTTTAAAATTTATATTTATTATACGAAAAACGGGTGTAAATAAGAAATACGGTGGCAAATTTGTAAATAAAATGTCATTTAAAGTATTAGCATGTGATAATAGACACCCTATTTTTTTAAAAATGATGTAAATTAAAAACATTATTATAATAAATTAAAAACATTATTATAATCAAATCTCTATTACTCTTGTTAAAGGAAAAACGAATGTAAATTTAGATCGACTGGAAAAAAATTGTTTATTTTTATAAGTCTAAATATTAATCTTAAACACATTAATAAACCATAATATATTTTATTAAGTATTAATTGGGTAAGTAATTGAATTAATGGGTATAAATTATTAAGTTAATATTATTTAAATAAAATAATGAAAAAAAACACATAACAAATGACCACATCTATTTGAATCGATCAAAGCCCATTTCTCTGAACCCCATTCTCTCTGAAACCCTAGAGCTTCATCTCCTTCCTCTCATCGTACATCCGAGAAACTCAGATTTCCATCGATCAAAATACAGCATTTCTCAACAATCATACCTCACTTTCATTTCTAAATCCATTTAATTAAATCTTCTACGAGTACAATTTTAATATATACTCCTAATACTCTCTCTCACACACACATTCTCTCTCTCTCTCTCTCTCTCTCTCTCTCTCTCTCTCTCTCTCTCTCTGTGTGTGTGTGTGTGTGTGTGTGTGTGTGTGTGTTAGGGTTTACATTCTGTAATTTTCTATCTTCAATTTTTCTTCTCATCACTCCAAATTCCGATTTTTTAATTGATGGTTCAATTTATGGGTTTAAGATTATTTGAATATGCAATTTAGGATTTTCCTGTACAATTAGTTTTTTGACTCAACACATATAATGAGAAAAGGATATACCTGATGGTCATCTCCCATAGAAAAAATGTCGTAAGAAGTGAGTGAAGAAGGTCATCAGCAACCTTATCATCACGGTGGAAAAGACTATGTTGACCCACCACCAGCATCTCTTCTTGACTTCGCTGAGATTAAGCTATGGTCCTTCTACAGAGCTCTCATCATTGAGTTCATAGCCATTATCCTCTTCCTCTACGTCATCGTCGCCAGTCCAAATTGCACGGGATGCAGGTGTATCAGTGTGTTTGTGTGTGTGTGTGTTTGTGTGTGCATTTGTGAATCAATTAAATGAAAATTGATGACTGATTTTCCATTTGGAATTGTTATAGGAACTTGTAAATTTAGAAAGAACTGATCTACGGGAAAGCAAATAATTGATGAAGCTTCTTGATTTGTCTGGGGCCACAAAACTGAAGTGGGTGTATCTCTCAAGTTGTGAAAGTTTATGTGAAGTTCAACCATCTGTTTTTTTGAAGATCACACATGTTGCTTTGCTTGTAAATAGGTACAAAAAGTTGGAGATTCTTGTTAGTGAGAAGCATTTAACATCTCTGCAGGAATTTAATGTCAGTGGCTGCTCAAGTCTTAGGAGATTTTTGTTGTCCTCGGGTTTGATTACAAGGTTGGATTTAAGTAATACAGGTATTGAAATACTGCACTCATCCATCGGCAATCTGAGCAAGCTTTTGAGGCTCGATGTACAAAGTTTAAAACTTAAGAGTCTACAGAAAGAAATATGTTGCTTGATATCACTGTCTGATCTCAGGCTTTCTAACTGCAATATAGTAACTAAGTCAAAGTTAGAAGCCATATTTGATGGTCTAAAATCATTGAAACTACTATATTTGGAAGATTGTGGTAACTTGCTTGAACTCCTATGAACACCGATTCCTTGTTGTCATTGTATGAATTAAGACTAGATGGAAGCAACGTGAAGATGTTACCTACAAATATTAAGAATCTCTCGAGATTACAATTTTTTTACTTAGACAATTGTAAGAACCTTTGTTGTTTGTCGGAGCTTCCTCCAAGCACCAAAGAGCTTCATACTGATAGCTGCATCTCATTGGTGAACGTTTCAAGTTTAAAGGCTCTTTCGCAGAGTATGAAGGGAGTGAAGAAGTATAATTTATTCAAGAATAACATTAAGTTGGGTGGACCGTCACTCGACCGCGTTATGGAAGATGGCATATTAACAACAAAGAGTGTTACATTTCACAATATTGCACTAGCCAAAGGGCACAACTACAATGAGAATAATGTTTTGTTTTGTTTACCAGGACACACTGTTCCAAGGCAGTTCAAATTTCGAACAATATGTTCCTCTTTCTCCATTTCTATTCAACTTCCTCCATGTTGAAAATGTGTTAGATTAATTTTCTTGGTTTTTGTTTCTTCATCTTACGAAATGAATGAGCATGGGAATCGTCATACTCTGAGTTACAGATACAGAGGAGTTAAGTATTTAACTCGTTTACATTCGGTGGGCCATTTGAGCTTGGATCATGTTTTTGCATGGTATGGTTCAAACTACATTAACAATGAATAAAATGTAATTGAATTCACTATTAAACTAAGTTTGGGAAACTTAATGGCTCTTATATTTTAAAAGAGTTTGGGATCAATCCAATTTATTACTCTGAATTTCCAAGGCGGGTAGCCACCGTGAATTTGGACAGGGACTTAGAAAGATAATTACATTTGAATTTTTTGTTGAGTTCATAGCCCTTCACTGTTAGATTTGATTCAAGCAAAGCTCTCTCAAGGGAATAAGGTTGTTACAAATATTGTGCAATTTTCTATAATTTAGTTCGATTTGGTAGCTCTAGATGCTATGCGATATGTCTAATGCAGCTGGATGAGACTCTTATGGATGCATCCGGTTCAAAGGCATTTTTCATGTACTGCTTAATAGCGGAAATAGGGGTAGAGGTGACTGACAAAGTTGTTGAAGCTCCATATTCAATAGTCTTCCCTTGAGCTTGTCGCGGTGAGAATCGGATATCAAGCTATTAATTAACTTGAATCACAAATCTTAATTCACCACCGGTCTTTAATTTGTCCAAGGGAAGGGAAAAATATCGAATTACCCAAAAGATGCAATGCAAATGCAAAGCTAGAGAGTCTAAGGTTCGGGGGTTGGTTATACCTAGGGAAGGTGCTAGCATCCTAAGTATTTGTAGTACTCTACAGGAACCTCTTATTTTATTGTGTTATTGTTGTTTGCTAAGGGTGAACCTAGGGGGTTTATTTCTAAGTATACTCGCCAAGAAATCGCATCTTGTACCGATGTATCGTGACGGAAATGGAATCAGAGTATTTGCAGTTCCCCTAAAAGGGACCGAGGAACCATTAACTATTGGTCGAAGTTTCAGGGAAAAAAGGTTTGTCGATTGATTCTAGGAGAAAAGACGAGTCGTCATCTTAAAGGAGAATACTCGACTTAACCACCACAACTTGTAGGAAATGTTCTTTGCGTTACATTGAGAGAAGGGTTCAAAACTCTGATTTATCGATGAGTATGCCACATAACTCTCTCAAGCGGAAAAGGTTCTACATCTCGCAATATTATTATAGGGTAGGAGAATTATATCTCGACTATCAAGATGAATCACGTCTAATTCTCTTGTGTGGAGAATAAGATTTAATTGCATTGGTTTGTCTAAGTTGAAAGATCTAAGAGAAACCGATCATATCTTAAGGTGTAAGGACTAGATCCTAAGCTGATCGACTTGAACACTCAAGGATCAAGCGGGGGAATAATGATGCAAATGAGATGCAGTGTGTACAACTTATAGAATTCATACACGGGTTCTTCCATCGAACATGCATACAAATTAATAGCGAAGAAAAAAAATAGAATAGGATATACATCATAATGGCAGCGTAATTTTAGAATTAGCGATACAGATCACGAATTAAGCAAAATTGAATTTTAAGGCCCACAAATGATTCAAAGATAAACAACTTAACAATCACGGACGAAATAGGACTAATATTGAATTTCAAAACAAATTTAATGATGATATATATGAATTCCAAAATCGAGGTTATTAACAATTCCGAATGAATCGTAATTGAGCCTACTTCTTTTTAACACAAAATTAATTAAGTTCTTAATATAAAAGGGGTTAAATTTTTAAATATTGAGTTACTCTTTTAACAAAATGGATTAAGCTTCTAATGTAAAAATGGTTTAAGTTTACTAATATAAAAAAGAAATGATTTAAATTGTTTATTATTATTAACTTGCTATGATTAAATTATAAAAAAATGAGTTTAAATTAATAATTAGTTAACTTAACACTAAATATTTTCTAAAAAAAACTAAATTATTAAAAATTCTAATTTTAATTTTATATATTTTTATTATTTTCTATTATTATATCGTTTATTATTTTTACCATTTTATTTTTTTTATTATTTTCCAAAATAACTAACTATTGGGCTAAAGCCCAAATGCATAAAAAACCATAACAAAGAAACAAAAGTAGACGTTGGGCCAGTGGTGGTCAGATCCACCAGACCCAATCCAAAACAATGGAAGACCAAACTAGGGTAAATTGAGGAGCCCTAATTCCTTCCTTCCAGATCGTGGCCGCCCTCCCTCTTCTTCTTCCTAAATTTTGTCCTTCTCTTTCGCTCGTTCACCTCCTCCTTTTATTAACGTCATCCTTCAATTTCAAAGCTTTTGTCGCATCACAACCATGGATCCGCGATGGCAAGAACCTGAATACCTTTCCCCTTTCAAAATGTTCTCATATCCTAAACAGCTCTTCTTTAATTTGTCATTCCCAAACCCTAATCCCTTCCTTCCAGATTCGACATTGAGAAACCCACCAAGTTTAACATATTCAACACAAGTATATTACCTCCAGTGTGTGGTTGAAGGCGTGTGGTATCGTCAAAGGTTGGTGATTTGAAGTGGGATAGCTTTGAATTTGGTCCTCGACAAAACGGAGGTTTTGTCGCAAACGAAGACCCGCCAATGTCGACGGTTCCAAGATAAGTTTTCTTAATGCTCTCCCTCTCCCGATTCTACCTCTCTTGTGTGGTATAGTTTGTGAAACTGTATGTTCTTCTATTACTGCTTCGTATCTGACCAAAGTCATTTTTGCACTACAAGAAGCAAGTTTGCTACTAATCTACTCTCATTCAGAAAGATTCTAAGAAGACAATATGTTGTTGCTGCAATGTTCTCTTGGTTCCTGATTCTAATCATAACTCTGATACTTTACTTCTGAAGGCTTTCAAGCTTCTGAAGTCATCATCTTCTGAAGACTAAGTGCTAAAGACTCTAAAGACAATTTTCTGTTAAACGAAGTTCTGAAGACTATAAAGACTTGAGTTTATGAAGAATAAGTGTTGAAGACTTTGAAGAGAAAGTTCTGCTGAACGACATTCTGAAGACTCCGAAGACTTAAGTTACTAGTGACCAAAGGTTCTGAAGACTGAGTGCTTATAGTTCTGAAGACAAGATTCTCGTGAACAAGTTCTGAAGACTCAAGACTCTGAAGACTTATTGATCAACTCTTTTACTCATGCTTCAATCATCTCTATTCAGAAGCCTCTGATATAAAGAAGAGAAGCTCAAACGTCTACAAAGGAAAATAGTACATAATGCGTTTTAAAGTCTCATTCCACTACCATTCCACTACCCTGATTTGGTGGTACAAAGGACAACTTTTGTGTATGATTTTCATCTCTGCATAACAAAATTATTTCAAGTCGCCAGCTACCAAAAGGATATTCCTGATCTGCTCTCCAACGGATCTTTTTTTGGCTATATAAGGACTTGATTACTTGAAAAAAATTAAGAAGCTTTATAATGATTAATACAAAGGTTACACTTTGATTAAAAGCAATCTATGAAGAACTGAAGCTACAGTATTGAAGCACCACAATATAAAGAAAAATATTGTTCATACTATATTAGTGTCTTTAAGATATTTGATCTATTAAAAGTGTTTATAGCTTCTTGCTTAGAAGCAATTTCATTGTAAACATCTTTGTTAAAACTATTGTTTGTAACTTCTTAGGGGACCGGTTAGATATAAATCCTTAAGAAGAGACGGTTGTTTGTGTTGTTAGTCACCCGCGGTTGCTTGTGCAGATTGTAATTCCTTAAGGGACCAGTTGAGTCAGAATCCTTTAGAAGACACGGTTGTCTGTGTTATTAGTCATCAGTGGTTTCTAGTGCATTTTAATCTGTTGATTATAGTGGATTAAGTCCTTATGTATAAGGCGGAATCACCTTGGCGGGTGGACTGGATTAGCTTGATACTTTTCAAGTGAACCAGGATATATCGCGTGTCTTTCTTTCTTGATTAGTCTATTTGTGATCTTTGTTTGAGTTTCAAAAAAAGATTTCATTTTTGAAAACCCAATTTAAACCCCCCTTTCTTGTGTTTTCTCACACCTTCAATTGGCATCAGAGCTCCGCTTCTGATTGTGATAAAAAGTTTTATCAACACTTCATTGTATTCAGTACCAATCCAGTATTTGTGTGAGATATCATGGCTACAACTAATGTTAATCCTATTCAAGATGAGAAAGATGATTACAGTGCCAAACCACCAGTCTTTGATGGTGAAAAGTTTGACTACTGGAAAGATAGAATTGAAAGTTCTTTTTCTTGGTTATGACGTAGATCTTTGGGATCTCGTAGTTGATGGCTATACTCATCCAATTGATGCTGAAAGAGTAAAAGTATCAAGAATGCTATGACCAACCAACAAAGGGAAGATTACAAGAATCATCACAAGGCAAGATCTATACTGCTGAATGATATCTCTTATACTGAGTATGAGAAGATAACAAATAGAGATACTGCCAAGTCTATTTTTGATTCTCTAAGAATGAATCATGAAAGAAATGCTCAAGTTAAAGAGACAAAGGCGCTAGCCTTAATCAAGAAACATGAGGCATTTAGAATGGAGGGTGATGAAACAGTTGAGAATATGTTTTCAAGATTTTGAATTCTAGTCGTAGGACTTAAAGTTCTTGAAAAAGGATACTCAACTGCTGATCATGTCAAAAAGATCATCAGAAGCCTTCCCAAGAAATGGAGACCTGTGGTAACTGCTCTCAAACTATCTAAGGATCTGAATAGTATAAGTCTTGAAGAACTTATTAGTTCTTTAAGAAGTCATGAGATAGAGTTGGAGTAAGATGAACCTCAGAAGAAGAATAAATCCATTGCTCTTAAGTCTAAACCTGAAAAGGCAAAGGCTTATCAAGATGAGGAAGATTTAGAAGATTTTGATGAAGACTCAGAAGACGAGCTTTAACTTATCTCCAGAAGAGTCAACAAAATTTGGAAACATATGCAAGGGAAGTTCATAGGATTAAGAAGAAACA